GTGAAATTGCCTTCAACGACCCAGAGAGACTCGCTTAAGTCCTGCAGAGGAACAGCCCCCCTCCTGCCCCGCAGCCCCTCCTCTTCACGCAGCCCGGCTCCCAGCCTGGGGGCTCCTGGCGTTTCCCGGAAGGTTGGGCACCGCCGTTCCCACGTTCCCCTGTGGCTGGTGGGGAGGAAGGGGAAGAGGACGGGGGAGCTCTGGGCTCAGAGGGAGCGTGGCTGGAGGCGAGGGCGGGAACCCTGCTAGGAGGAGGCCAGGGGCGTCTGGAAGGCGGGTGAGGGAGACCCGAGAGGCGTCCAGGTGGGCTTGGCCGATGGGCAGCCCTGTCCAGGTGGGCTTCCTTTGGGATGGAGCTCCTGAATCTGCCTCTCTTACATGCCCAGATTCCCTCTCTGGTGACTGCTGTGTCCCTGCCCGTGTCAGTGAACAGCCCTGTCTGCAGAGGTTTTCAATTTTAGTCCTTTTAAGGTCTGACTAATCTACCCTAAAAAAGAAGCTTTCCACTCTTTCTTACAGACAGCTTTCCAAACAGATCAAGGGGGTTCTGTGATAATATTCAGAAAGATAACAGAATTTCCAGTCAAGGGACAGGCCTGGGAGCTCTAATAACTGCCTGCAGGGCCTTTTGGGGAACAGAGACTGGTGTGCAGAAGAGCCAGTTTATTGATTGGCTGCAGAGGCTTCAGTTGTTGGACTAAAATGCCGCATGGAGAGTTTATGTTTAGATAATGGCACTCTTTCAAAATTGGAGGGGAGAGTAGTTTTTGCCCTTATTTGTAGCCGAGGAGTTCCATGTGCAATTTTTGCAGAATTTTCCACAATTATAGGTATGTGTATTTATATTACTCTTTCCATGTATTTGTAATTGTATAATCTATACCCCAGACTTCCAGATATATTTTATGATAACCCATAACAGCGCTTACAGTTTATGGTTGATGCAAGTCAAGGGAATTTCATGATTGAACGGATATTTGAACTTGGATCTCTGGAACGTCTGATGAATCATAATTAAAGTAATAGGTTAGCATTGTGTTATGTTTGCTTTTTAAATGTAATGTATATTTTTTTCTTTTTTTCACATCTGCAAGCATTGTATAAACAATTAAACTTACACTTTTCTTTGACTCTTGTAGACAAAGAAGATGGCAATAAGAGCACTCTGGAGAAGTAAGAATAATTTTTGAAAAGGAAAGCAAATCCAGCCAGAATCAAAATATTTTCCATTTCCTTCAAAAAATTACACAATTGTCCCATCCCTGCAGGCAAAAGGCAAGAGAAAATCAAGAAGAGAATTCAAGCTGGAAATATTAGAGTATGCGGAACAGAAGGATAGGTTACAAGACAAGGTGGAGGGGATCATTTTTCCATTCAGAAAAAGAGGAAAGTATCTGGAAGTCAGTGGGGAAGAAAAGGTCAATTGGATACTCAAATAGGGCAGACAGTAATGCAGAACTCCCAATGGGAGGAAGAAAACAGTAGGTGAAATCAAAGCACCACTAAATAAGGGACCACAAACATTTTTGACGTCTCCCAGCATATGTGTGGTGGAAAAGGTCCACAGATGTTACTATTGTGGTATAAAGTACAGATTGCAAAAGCATCAGGGATTAAATACAAGAGGATCCAAACTATAAATGTTACTAATGTAACAAAATCTTTGGTTAGAATATCTCCCTTCTGGTTCATAAAAGGACCCACACAGGACAGATGCCCTATAAGTGCTCCCAATATGGTAAATGCTTTACCAAGCAAAGTAATTGACACAGGAGAGAAACCATAGGAGTGTCCAGTGTGTGAGAAATGTTTTGCTGTAAATTACTACCAGGTGAAACACCAGATGACTCACACTGGAGAGAAACCCTTTGAATGTTCAGATTGTGGGAAACAGTTCACTAAGAATTTCCACCTGGTGAGACATCAGAAGACTCACACAGGAGAGAAACCGTATGAGTGTCCAGTTTGTGGGAAAAGTTTCAATTCCCATTCTCACCTGGTGATACACCAAAGGACTCACACAGGAGAAAAACCCTTTGAATGTCCTGAATGTGGGAAAAGGTTCACTCAGAATTCCCACCTGGTGAAACACAAGAGGATTCACATAGGAAAGAAACCCTTTGAATGTTCAGATTGTGGGAAACGGTTCACTAAGAATTCCCAAGTGGTGATACACCAGAAGACTCACACAGGAGAGAAACCATTTAAGTGTCCATTTTGTGGGAAAGGTTTTGTTGCAAATGCCCTCCTGGTGAGACATCAGAGGACACACACAGGAGAGAAACCCTTTGAATGTCCTGAATGTGGAAAACGTTTCAGTCGTAATTTCTGTCTAGTGATGCACCAGAAGACTCACACAGGAGAAAAACCGTATGAGTGTCCACCTTGTGGGAAAAGTTTCATTGTAAATTCCCACCTGGTGAGACACCAGAGGACTCACACAGGAGAAAAACCGTATGAGTGTCCACTTTGTGGGAAAAGTTTCATTGCAAATTCTGACCTGGTGAGACACCAGAGGACTCACACAGGAGAGAAACCGTATGAGTGTCCAGGTTGTGGGAAGCGTTTCTTTGCAAATTACAAGCTAGTAAACCACCAGAGGACTCACATGGGAGAAAAACCCTTTGAATGTGCTGATTGTGGAGAAAGTTTCAGTCGTAATTGCTCTCTGGTGATGCACCAGAGGACTCACAAAGGAGACAAACTATACGAGTGTCCTGTTTGTGGGAAAAGTTTTACTTTCTATTCTAACCTGGTGATACACCAAAGGACTCACACAGGAGAAAAACCCTTTGAATGTCCTGAATGTGGGAAAAGTTTCAGTCGAAATTCCAATCTGGTAATGCACCAGAGGACTCACACAGGAGAGAAACCCTTTGAATGTCCTGAATGTGGGAAAAGTTTCAGTCGTAATTCCGATCTGGTGATCCACCACAGGACTCACACAGGAGAGAAACCGTATGAGTGTCCACTCTGTGGGAAAGGTTTTGTTGCAAATTCCAACCTAGTAAAGCACCAGAGAACTCACACCGGAGAGAAACTATATGAGTGTCCACTTTGTGGGAAAAGTTTCAGTTCTCATTCTAACCTGGTGATACACCAAAGGACTCACACAGGAGAAAAACCCTTTGAATGTGCTGATTGTGGGAAAAGTTTCAGTCGTAATTTCTCTCTGGTGATGCACCAGAGGACTCACACATGAGAGAAATCCTTTGAATGTCCTGATTGTGGGAAAAAATTCAGTCAGAGTTCGGCCTTCTGGGGGCCCTAAAAAGGGCCTAAAATAGCACCGAAGGCACGATGAAGAGGAGGGGTGGTTGTTGATCACAGTGAGATGGGGGTCTTTCCGTTCTATCCAAGGAAAGCCTTCCAAACTGGCAGGGGAAAGACTGGCTACGTTCCTGTGGCTAGCCATTACCTGCTGACAACCGAAGAAGAAAAAGGCAATAATTAATGTATCATAAACAGCATGTTTGGTACTGGGTGAGGATATCGGTCCTTTCTTTACCATTTTAAAATTAATTTTCCTGGGAAAGGCTCCCAAAAAGCTAATAACGGGAGCAGTGTTTTAATTTTATGGGAGACAGAAACATAAAATACTGAAGTGGAAGTAACAAAACTACAGCTTTGATATATTTGAGAACTGAGATAACTGTTAAGATTTTTTTTTTTGATGGATTTGTGTATAGCAGTATAATTTGCTTCCTGGCTGCTTGTTGATTCCTAGTTCAGGAGAACAGCTGACAATAAAGGAAGATATTTTGGCCTACTTATCACACTGACCTTCTTGGATTATAAATGCCTACTAAGCGTGGACTTTTAATTTCAAGAGCTAGTGGGAGAGAAAGAAAAATTTGACCTTGGACTATGTCTGGCTGGGAGAGACTTTTGAGCTGCTTTCAGAGAGGTTGAACATATTGAACATGTGGATTACAAACTTGCCTGATTGACAATTTTTGGATACTTAAGACAAAGAAATACTATAAAATATTGCTTTCAGGATTGAACCTACACTTTGGAATTTATTGGATTATAAAGGGTACATATAAGGACCAGAACACTAGAGGAAACTTTGATCTACTCTTACGGATACTGGTGATACTAGAAGATCTCTAGGAATGATGCCTCAAGAAAAAATAAACAGCTTTCAGAAAGAAATACATTTTATGCTACAACTAATTCACCAAACAATTGTTGAATGCAAAGAGCACATAAAAAGAAATGATGAGACTAAAATCAATTTAGACAATATAAATGAGCAAATCTCAAATTAAATCTACAACTAGAAATTCCCAGATAAGGAATACAAAGTACGAACATAATTCAGAAATCAGAAGACGAAACAGGAAACTGATTTAGAGATGGGAGAGATAAAAGAAGGGAAATGTAAACAACTATATACAAACAAAATACTGCAAGACTTAGCTATGGTTCTCTCCAATGTTCCAACCCAAAATATTCCTTGTTTATACAACCCTGTCCTGGCCGCTACATCCCTCCTCGTTCCCCATTGTAGTTTCTTTGCTAAGCTTGTTTGTCTATTTCAGTCCGTTTCCATTGTACAGCAGATTCTATTTTAAATTTTTCTTTCAATATTAAATTTTGAAGACCTTTCATTCACTTCTATCAAGAGGAACAGCTTGCCTTCAGAAATCATGGGTGCTCCATCACTGGAGGCCTTTAAGAAGAGACTAGACAGTGACTTATCTGAAATGGTATAGGTTCTCCTGCTTGAGCAAGGGGCTGGCCTAGAAGACCTCCAAGGTCCCTTCCAGCTCTATTCTATTCAAGATTGCTTCTTTAATGGATCTTTTTTATTTCTTTGGGAAGTGCTACCCTCAAAAGGGCTGCAAGAGTCCAGATCCCTTTGTCCCTTTTCACTTGCCAATTTGGTGTCTTCCCGCCCTCAATCGCTGGTCGAATTTCTCAGAGTCTCTCGCTCTGTGCTTCCTCCTGGCCTTCAGCCTATTGTTGTCCCTCGTCCAGGTCAGTTCACCTCCCCTGTCCTTCTGTGGAGCTGCTCTTCTCCCTTTCTTCTCCATTTCAACTCCCCTAGGGTGGAGGTCGGGAAGCCTGGTTCGTTTACTCAGCTTCGCGCTCTCTCTCTGGATCAACTTCCCATTTCTTCCTCCCCTTCTCTCTTCCTCTTCCTCAGGCCTCTCCCTCCTCACATGCAGCCCCACCCAGCAGGTGGGGGCAGGGCAGGCTGATAAACCCTTCCCTCCTCTCTCCTCAGGCCTCTGCTTGTTTTGCTTCCTTCTCCGCTGCTCTCCCTGTCTCCCTTTCCTTTTCTCCTCTCTTCTCCCCCTCACGCCATGCATCAGGCCGTCCCTCCGTCCCTACTACATTGGTAAAGGAACTATTCCGTTTTTTCCTCTTGTTCTTATTTTTGCTTTAAAGTCATATTTTGCAACAGTACAGTTTCTGAGCAAACTGCTAACAGAAATCCTGAGGGTCGGGTGCTTCTCCCAAAGCTTGTCTTTGTGACACTACAAGCTACACACAGTAGGGAGTTTCACTGCAGGGTCAATTGGTAATCAAATAGAGGTGCCAACAGGTACAGAGATGAAAATACATAGCAGCTGCTTGAAATCTCCTTCAGCACTAAACAATTAAATGTCTTGCTGCCAATCAAACAAGGAGAAACTGTCCCTTGGGGCCTCCTCCCCTTGAGTGTCAGGATCCCTCTCCATTTTAAATCTCTGAAAATGACTGCAACTGTTGATAGCAGTTAGGAAAGGAGGTTGCATGCATTTCCCTCAATAAGGCGGGCATTGTGATGTAGAGCTTCATTGTGGCGTCCGATGTCTCCTGTGATTAATTTCATTTTATCCTTGGGGAACGTCTAATTATATTGGCAGAAAGGAAAATAATCAAGAAGAGAAGGAACTTGGCATTAAGGAGAAACTTTCTAATGTGAAGACAATGAACCAGTGGAACAGCTTCCTTTCAGAAATTGCAGATGCTTCCATCACTGGAGGGTTTTAAAAAAAGAAGAGACAGCCACCTGCCTAAAATGGTATATTCTGATTGCTTGAGCAGGGGATTGGACTACAACAGGGCTTTTCAACCTTTTCACCCATTGTACCACTTTTAGGATATGGCAGTATCCAAGTACCACCAGTCACCTAGCAAGGTGTCAAAAACTTGACGACCAAAAAAAAAAGGGAAAAAGTGATGAAGTACATATAGTCCTCGACTTACAACAGTTCGCTTAATGACTGTTCAAAGTTACAATGGCGCTCTTCCTCCTGTCCGAGGTTTTCATGGTTGTGAGCATTTCTGTTGAGTATTGGCAGCAGGGGTGGGGTGGGGGGTGTTTGGTTTTTATTCCCTTTGTTTGCTGGGTGGTTGCAGCAGGTTTTGGTCATCTGGGACACTGTGACCCTGTGACCGTCATAAATATGAATCAGTTGCTAAGCATCTGAATGTAAATCACAAGACCCTGGAGATGCTGCGACATTCCAGCTGATCGGCGCTTCTTCTGGGCTCAGCAGAAGTGCCAGGATCAGTGCTGCTTTCCAGCTGATTGGTGCTTCTTCAGGGCTTTTGTGTTTAACATATCTGCTCTAAAAGTTGTGAGTACTCCATCAGTGGAAGTTTTTAAGAGGAGACTGGACAGCTCTTATCTCCCCGTACGAAGCGTGCCCTGCCGTCGCTTTTCCCTCCTATTCCCCCATGCGGAGTGCCCTACTGCAGCCGCTTTTCTCTACCTCCCTCATGTGGAGCATGCCCTGCTGCCACTTTACTCTATATCCCTGTGCAGAGCACCTGCTGCCGCCACTTTGCTCTATCTCCCACACGCAGAGCGCCATGCTGCCACCGCTTTTCCCTACCTCGTCCACATGGAGCGTGTCCCGCTGTTTTTCCCTCCTACCTCTCCTGTGCAGAGTGTCCTGCTGCTGCTGCTTTTCCCTACCTCCCCCACGGGGAGCATGCCCTGCTGCTACTTTTCTCTCCTACCTCCCCCATGCAGAGCGCCCTGCTGCCACTGCATTTTCCTCTTGCCTCCCCTGTGCGGAGCGCCCTGCCACTGCAGCTTTCCCCAGCAGCAAAGATGGCGTTTGGGAAGCAGCGGCAGCGCATAGCCCAGGCACTGCCCAGCAGCAAAGCTTGTCCTTCCCACTCAAGAAGCCCCCAGCGGCTCCTCGGCTCCATTCAAGTTGAAGAAAGCGGAGGCGCAGCAGAGGGATTGCTCTCAAATAATATGCAAGATCTTTTTTTTCTGTGGGAAGTTGTAACTGATTGATTGAATTTTTTTTTTTAGGTGGCGGAGGACTGGGAGCCACAGCGAAGGGATGAAAGAGCCGCATGCGGCTCAGGAACCACGAGTTGCTGATCCCTGGTCTAATCTCTTCTTAAAAACCTCCAGTGATGGAGCACCCATGATTTCTGAAGACAAACAAGACTACCAAAGAAAGTACAATGGGGAATGAGGAGGGATGTGGCATCCGGGACAGGGTTGTATAAAGAAGGAATATTTTGGGTTGGAACTTTGGAGAGAACCAAGCTTTGATAGCTTCTCTCCTCGCTTGTTGCAATAAATGAAATAAAAGGCCTTCACTGTGCCTTGGCTGGTTATTGGTCAGGTGAGTTTGCTTCCGGTCATGAAGGAAAGTAGCCAGGAGCACATAACACTCTGGTTAATTGTCTGCATTTTTAGGAAGTTTCTCCTTAATTCCAGGTTCTTCTCTCTCTGATCAGTTTCCAACCGTTGTTTCTTGTCCTGCCCTCTGATGCTTTGGAGAATTTTATCCCACCTTCCTTGTGGCAGCCCCCCAAATACTGTGGGGGAGAGGTCAGGGGGACCAGGGGGAAAACCTGTGGGGACCATGGGATGGGAGAAAAGTTTGGTTGGTCCCTATAAGGGAGGAAAAGCCCCAGGGGAACCAAGGGTTGGGAAGCAGAGCACAGGGTGTCTCGGGTGGGGGAGGCCTAGGGATGCCTGTGGGGGCAGGTCTGAGCCTGCATTAGGCCTTCAAGACCTTCCCCCAACAGTCGGGGTGCTAGTATTCCACGTAGCGACTCGCACATCTGTTTAATGGCTGCATCACGGAGGGTGGAGGTAATTAACCAAACCAGTCTCACTTCATGGCTTTTGCAACGTGCAACTGTAACTGGCAGGCCCCATTATAGTTTTAACTTGAAGACTACTGGCGTGCTGGCTGGGAAAATGTGGGGATCAAAATCTGGAGCACAACAAACAAGGCTGAAACTCCATATGTTGGATTTCCATAATCAATATACAAAAAGCACACAAAATGCTATTTGAGGAGTTCCACAAGTTCTGTAAAAGGAAACATCCAGAAACATCTGCTGATAATTAGAAACAGGTCATTAGCCTTTATCAAGCTAACAATTTCCATTTTTTTTCTCTGCACCTACAGGTCTAATCCTAAGATGTGTTGACTAAAAAGAATCAGGTCAGAATTCAAGTAGCCAATTTCTCACCTACACTCCCAATGGGAAATCAGGAATGAAATTCAAGCCTTCTCTAAACTCATCAATGTTTGCCTCATGTGCACTTCCTTCTGGGCTGCCACAAAATAGGTTATAAAATTGGGCACTGTCAAGACTGCTAACATCGGATGTTCTTGCTTGCCATATATGAAGAAGCAAAACTGTTTTATTTAGCCGTATAGCATTTCTAGAGTTAACGCAGACAGCAGTAGTTCAAGGGATGAGAAAGTATGCAAGCAAACCATAACAATGTCTGGGCACAGTGTGGCCAAGGTCAGCTCAGATGCAACGGGAGGGGCACCTCACACTTCACATTAATTGGAGAATGTGATTGATGACTGTAAAATGAATGAGTGAGTTATGCTTTGTTACAGATGCTTGGGGGAGGGAGGATTCAGTTTCTGGCTTAACTTGGTTAGTGCCGAAGCTATGCAGAATAATAAAAGATTCTTTTAGAGGAAAAAGCCTCAAAATTCTTTGAAAATCTGCTTTCTTTCGGAACCATGTCATCAAGCCAGAAACCACAAACTTTTAAATTCATTTAGGGGTCCCTTACCCCAGTCACTATCCCTAAGCTAACGGGGATAGCTGACAAAGATTTGGGGAAGATCTCGCCATGGAAGAGAAAAAAGTGCCTGAGGCTGGCACCCCCCCAGCCGCAGCTTCTCCAGGAGGAACAGCAGCAGCAGCTTCTCCAGGAAGGGAAGGGCCAGCTACCCAGACAGTGGAGAAGAAACTCTGGCAAACTCCACAGCTGGGAGCAAGGCCAAAACTATCAGGAGAGCTGATTTGGTCGTCAGACTGGGACAAGCCAAGCAACGGCTCTGGAAGTTTCCACACAGCCTTGCCAGCAGATGAGCGTGAGTCACGGCGAAGGGATATTTACATATCACCTTCCTCCCAACAATGGAGAGCTGCCTGGCCATCTATCGCTGAAGACTCGGGTGAGTGGAAATACCGACCTGCAGCTTGCAGTGGGTCATTAGAATACCTAGCAGAAAGATTTGAAGAATTAGAAGTGCAGAGCGAAGAGCAACTCCCATTGAGAGAGGCCCCCAGCCCCTTCCTTGCAGATCAATTGGCTTTTCAACCCCTGGGGACCCCTGCCAGAGCCTCTAGCCCCACACAGAGAGGAGATTCCAGCCTGGGGCCCCTGCTGCAAGGTGAAATTGAGCAAATTCCACAGATAAGTGATCAGCCGTCTCCAAGCCTACACCAAATAATAGAGGCCTTGCAACAGCTCGGGCTAGTGCCAAAGCCAGGGGAGCTACAGCCAGTGAGCTTGCAGACGAGGGAGGCCCAACATGTCCAGCAGCCATTGAGGGGCCTACAGCAACTGGGGGCGTCACCACCCCCTGCAGCCCAACAGCAAGGAGGGCTACTACTACCCCTGCTTGCACAACCACCATTGGGAGGCCTGCAGCAGCAGGGGGCACCTCCAGCCCCCACTGCCCAGCAGCAGAGGGCCCAGCAACCATTGGATTAGCAGGCAGGGTGGAACCAACTGCAGCAGGGGGCGCCACGCCCACTACTGAGAGCCCCGCAGCCGTTGGATCAGCAGGCTGGGTGGGGCCAACTGCAACTGGGGGCACCACGTCAACAGCAGAGAGCCCCGCAGCAATGGGGCCAACAGCAACTGGGGGCACCACCAGCCCCCGCTGCCCAGTAGCAGAGAGCCCCGCAGCAACGGGGTCGACAGGCCGGATGGGGCCTACAGCAACTGGGGGCACCACGTCAACAGCAGAGAGCCCAGCAGCAATGGGATCGACAGGCCGGATGGGGCCAACAGCAACCCGGGTGGGGTCCGCAGCAGCCTGTATTCGCACCACCTTTCAAAGCAACATTCGATGGGGACCCAGAGAAGCTGATTTTTTTCCTCAACCAAGTGCGTTCTCATTTAAATCGCTGGGCCTATCTCTATCCGGAACCAGGGGCCATGGTTGACGTCATTGCGGCCAACCTGGAGGGAGAAGCATCTGAATGGCTGAACAATCTATATAGCGAGCTAGCCCCCGAATTGGAAGATCCCCATCTCTTTCTCATAGGACTGAGAGAACGATTTGAAGACCCATCCATCGGCCTCAAAGCAGCAGGACAAATTCACAAAATAAAACAAGCAGGAAGGCCTGCCCTGGAGTACGTGCGAGAGTTCCGCAAGATGGCAGGTCGAATAGAGGGGTGGCCTGAGCAGTCCCTCATCCTTTACTTCATCGAGGGATTAGATGATCACCTCTCTCAGGCTTGCATCTATCGAGAAGTACCTGATCGACTGCAGGAGTGGTACCAGACGGCCGTGAAGCTGGATGTTAAGCTCTCTCGTTATAAGAAGCCTCCCTCTCCTGGAGTTGAACCAATACCAGAACGATCCAGACGACAACCAACCCCCTGGAGACCCCCAACAACTATGCCTACCGATAGACCCAGACCACCTGTGGGGCCACCGCTTGCATGCTTCCGATGCGGACAACAGGGACATCGAGCAGCAAATTGCCCAGTCGCCTACCTCAACAGCAGAGCAGACCGAGACCCGCGGCAAAAAAAGAAACCTGATCAGCAACCACCCAGAGGGAAATCCAATTGGATCAACCAAGAACTGGCTGCCCAAGTCGCATCCCCTGCGCGGCAGGACACCAGAGCCAAGGCTGGATCTGTCCCTGCTCTACCGCCTCTTGACAGCGATGACGAAGGGGAAAACGACCCAATGGTGAGTCGCGAAATCCCGTCTTTTACCCTAGCTGCCAAACTTATAATCCCTAAATCAGGGGTGCAAATAAACTTAACTGTGCTAATAGACTCTGGATGCACCCGATGTATTATTAGCTTACCCTTTGCTATGAAATTGGGCATACGAGCAAAATCACTCTCCAAACCCATGAGGTTTGAACAGGCTGATGGCTCCCTCATGGGAGGAATTCTCATCACACAAGTAACTGAACCCTTACGCCTAGAGATAGGTGCACACTGGGAGTTTATTCGCTTCCTGGTGGCTCCAAAAATGACTGAGGCGGTGATCCTAGGACTAGCCTGGTTAGACAAATGGAAGCCGTTTATCTGGTGGGAGAAAGGAGTGAGAACTATGAGACTACCTATAGGGCCTGATCCCCCCATTGATTCAACAGATATTACTGGGCATCTTAGGCCACCCAATGAGCGAGCGCACATGGCCGCCTCACTGACTCCAGGTGAACCAGTCATCCCCAAAGAATACTTGGACCTGGCGGAGGTGTTCAGTGAAAAAGAATGTGATGCCCTACCCCCTCACAGACCCAATGACTGTTCCATCGAACTGGTGCCCGGAGCCAAACTCCCACGTCCGAGGATGTATGCTATGTCCCCCCTCGAAATGGAGGAGATGCAGCGATATGTGAACAAGAACCTAGCGAGGGGGTTTATTGAACGGGCCAAATCTTCCGTGGGAGCCCCTGTGTTGTTCAAAGAGAAAAAAGATGGGTCTCTTCGTCTCTGCGTAGACTACAAGGGACTCAATGCTGTAAGTGTGGAAAATAAATACCCCCTCCCCCTCCTAAAGGATTTATTGACCCACCTGGCTAAGGGGAGTGTCTTCACTAAGTTAGACCTAAGAGAGGCATACTACCGGGTGAGAATAAAAGAGGGAGACGAGTGGAAAACTGCCTTCAACTGCCCTATGGGGAGCTATCAGTTCAAAGTCATACCATTTGGACTACAGGGGGCCCCAGCTGTATTTATGCAGTTGATTAATGAGGTTCTACATGATCACTTGTACAAAGGGGTTTTGGTGTATCTTGATGATATCCTGATATACAGCACAAACATGACTGATCACATAAAGCTAGTGAGAGAAGTGTTAAAGAAACTATTGAATGCCAAGATTTATGTCAAATTGTCAAAATGTGAATTTCACCAAACCCAATTAGACTATCTTGGCTACCGAATTTCCAATGAGGGTATTGAAATGGATCCGGCCAAGGTGAAAACTATAATCGAATGGCAGCCCCCAAGGACTCGCAAACAGCTCCAGAGCTTTCTGGGTTTTGCCAATTTTTATCGTCAATTCATCCCTTCTTTTGCCGAGATTGCCCTTCCTCTTACAGAACTACTCAAAACAGGCAAAGGAGGAGGGAAGCCG